CTACCTGTATCCTGCATACCACCTCCCGCCTTACTAGGTCCCCCTGCTACCTCCCCTGTATTCCGGACTTTGTTGTTTACTTTACCTGCTATGCCAAGTTAGCAAGGTTCAGTTAAGTACATGGTTTAACACAGGATTCCTCAGGCTTCCTGAGGGCGCAGCATCTCATTCTTGGCGCCCTGATTCTACTCGATGCCAGCCGCCCAATGGTGCCTTGGAGGTCCTCCCGATACCAATATTGGTAGAGCTACAGCCTGTTATGAAAGTGGTATTTATCTTGGCAGAGTACTGACTTTGGCACCAGATTCCAGGGTGCCCTGTAGGCATCACATCTCATACTCAGTGGCCTCGCTTTACTCAATCCCAGCTTTCCAATGGTGCTTCAGACATCTCCCTGGCACCAATGTTGGGAGAGCTAAAGCCTGTTATGTAAGTGGGATTCACCCTGGTGGAGTGCTGACTTTGACACCAGGTTCCCCGGCTGCCATTTTGGCATCGTGTCTCATACTTGGTGGCCTCCTTCTACCCGATGCCAGCTTTCCAACGGTGCCTCAGACGTCCCCCTGGTACCAATATTGGTAGAGCTACAGTCTCTTATGGAAGTGGTCTTTACCTTGGCGGAGTTTTGGCAGCCGGCTCCCACAGAGCTGACTTTGATGTCAGATTCCCCAGGTGCTCTTTGGTAGTCGCATCTCATACTCAGTGGCCATATTCTACTCGATGCCAGCTTTCCAACGGCGCCTCCAAGGTCCCCCTGGTGCCAATCTTGGTAGACCTACAGCCTGTTATGGAAGTGGTCTTTACCTTGGCAGAGGTCCGGCAGGGCGCTGCCGCAGTGCTGGTTTTGACACCAGATTCCCCCGGTGCCCTTTGGGCGTTGCATCTCATACTCGGTAGCTTTACTCTACTCGATGCCAGCTTTCCAATGGTGCCTTGAACACCTTCCTGGCGTCAATCTCAGTAGAGCTACAGCCAGTTATGAAAGTGGGATTCACCCTGGCAGTCTGCTGACTTTGAGGCCAAATTCCCTAGGAGTCCTTTGAGCATAGCATTTCAGGCTCAACAGCCCCATTCTACTTGACGCCAGCTTTCCAACGGTGCCCCGACGTCCTCCTAGCGCCAATATTGGTAGACCTACAGCCAGTTATGGAAGTGGTCTTTACCGTGGTAGAGGTCTGGCATGGTGGTAGCGAAGTGCTGACTTTGACACGAGATTCCTTGGGGCCTCTATGAAGGTAGTGGCTGATACTCACCTACCTCATTCTATGCCACGCCAGCTTTACAATGGTCCCTCCAACGTCCCCCCGGCGCCAATATTGGTAGAGCTACAGCCTGGTATAAAAGTGGTCTTTACACGGGCAGAGTTCTGCCAGGGTGCTGGCACAGTACTGACTTTCATGCCAGATTCCTGGGGCGCCCCATGGACGCAGCAGCTCTTACTCGGGAGCCATTATTATTATTATTTATTATTATATGTCATTATCTCGCTTATGGAGCCAAAGGCTATGAAGCGGCACTACATACATCAGGGTACTCTCAAGTACCAGGGCTATGGATCGGTCTCTTACTACATGATAGTGTCATACTTTTCGTTGGGCACCCCGGCCAAAGCGCAAATAATAAAATCCTCCTCTCCGCCTAAAGCCTAACAATTACAGGAAACACAAGTAAAGAAACCTAAGCAGTCTTATTCCTCCTCTCAGTAGCTGCCTGGTGTGCGTGACGGTAGATGGGACACTCCTTGGATGTGGCCATATGGTTGTTTCCACAGTTGTGGCATTTGATGGTGGTGTGAAGGCATGGCTTACCCTTGGTAGGGCAGTCAGATCTGCCGCATGCGTGGAGGTAGGCTGGGTGCTCCTGGGAACAGATAGCACAGTGGGGGGTTTTGTTGCATTGGGTAGGGTGGTGACCGAATTCCAAGCATCTAGAGCATTGGGTGTCAGGGCCAAAGGCAAGGTAGCGTTGCACCTTGAACTTCCTGCCAAAAAGTGAGAGGCCTCTGCTGAGGGCTTTTTCTGTGGAGTCTTTGCCGGTGATAGTAAGAACCATGGCAGATGCCATCTTTTTCTGGCGCTGGGCTTCTGTGGTGAGCCATCTAGGAGGGCAGGGGAGGTGGGTGCCAGGATTGAAAGTTTCAATCTCAGCCTGGACTGTAACAAAGGTAGAGGTAGTGGGGATGCCGTGAATGATGACCTTTTGCCAGACCTCATCCTTTCTGAGGCCATTGGCTGCTGGGATGGTGGCTCTGATAGCCACCTCAATGGCAAAGCGGTGGTTTTTGAGAACAGTGGAGGCAGGGGTATTGTCCTTGGTGACAAGGAGGACATGGTGGTTGGGCGTGAACTCTATGTTGGAGATAAGCTGTTTCTTGATGGCTGTGTTGACAGCATCGCGGACGGTAAGGTGGTTGGTGTTGTCTGGTAGGGCCGTTCCATCTCTTTCAATCACAATCATACGGTCGCGTTTGGTGAGAAGGGACAGGAGAGGAGTTTTGTTTGGCAGGGTGGTGGAGGGTTTGACTGGGGCTGTTCTGGCAGCTTTCTGGGCCCAGGTTTGCCTGGTAGGGGGTACTGGTAGGGTGGACTGATGGGTAGTTGAAGGTTGTTGTAGGAGTTGCTGTGACTGAAGTTGCGCAACTTGATTGGTGAGGTTGGTGATCATGGATTTCAGGTCCTCTGTATCCTGAATATGGCGATCTTGGATGACTTTGAGGTGTTTCTCCATGGCAGTGAAGGTGATTTGGAGGATGTTGTATTTGGCGATCATAGTGTTAAGATCTTCTCTGAGTTGAACAACGTAGGTGTGCAGGGGGTCTGAGGCAGAGGCTTCTTCCTCTCGAGGTTGAAGAGAGGTGCCGACCATGTAAACTGGTGATGGGGTATCCTCAGCCATCTGGGTGTCATTAGGCGAGGCTGGGGTTTAGGTTGGTAGGGGGTTGAAAGGAGGTGCAAGAGGGTTTGCAGCCCCCTTTCCTCTGCCTTTGTCTTAGGGAGGCATCAGAGGGGCCGGGAGTGGGACTCAGTTGATAGAAGTGATGAAAAACAAATGATAAAGGATGATTTGTTGATGAAAAGTCTGGAAAAAGGGTAGGGGAAGCGGTGAGAGTTGGCTGTTAGCCAATGAGGGGAAAGCTCGGCGAAAAATTTGGGGTGGTTTTTTCTTTCGCTGTGGTTGTAACGGCAACGGAGTCTTTACTCGGGAGCCAGGTTCTACTCGACGCCAGCCTTCCAAAAGTGCCCCAGAGGTCCCCCCGGCGCCAATGTTGGTAGAGCTACCCCCTGTTATGAAAGTAGTGTTTACCCTGGCAGAGTGCCTACTTTAACACCTATTTTATTTATTTATTATTATATCTCATTAAGCTTATGGAGCCAAAGGCTATGAAGCTGTGAAAGTACATAATTGTAGTGCTTCCCACTACTGGTCCTTAATTCCATCTCCTCCATCATTGTGTCTCCTGTTCACTGGGCCCTCTGCCATCCAATTTCCCTCTGTTCCAGCCCCTGGCCTGCTGCCATCCTCCATTCCCTCCATCTCTCCACCTCTGTCTCCTCCCATTCATATCCCAGTCCTCCTTCCTCCGCTTTCCAAATTGTATCCTCCATCCCACTACTTCCATTGCGAGAGCCCTCACACTCTGGCACTTGTCCAAGGTGGCCTTACCTAGTTGCAACTCAACTCTTTCTCACAAACTCTCCTCAAGCCAGTAGCCCAGCCTTGGATCCAAGCACATCTGGGAGGTGCAAGTGTTGAGCCACTGATCTTACGAGGTGTCTATGCTGTTGGTATATGCTGCAGTATAGGATCAGGTGTTCTGGTGTCTGTGGTGGTGGTGTGCTCTTAGTACAACTGCATCTGTCACTAACATTCTCATCCAATCTGCTAAGATAGGAATTGAAGTAGCCATGCCCAAGCCTAAGTTGGGTGACAGTTGCAAGTTGTGGTCTGTGGAGCTGAAAGAAGTGTAGTGGAGGATGCAGAGAAGGTAGGTGGAAGTGGATAGACCTATAATGTCTGCCCTGTTTAGCTGGTTGTAGCTGTGTCCAGTACTGGTGCCAGGCTTTAAGGGCAGACTGCTTGATCTGTGTCTTCAATTTGGTCAGTGAGAGATAACTGTCTATATCAGGTTGGGGATACTCAGCTGCTTGTTTTGCAAGTCTGTCAGCATCATCATTACCTTGAATACCAGTGTGACTTGGTACCCAATGGAGATGAAGCTGTAAGTCCAGGTCGGAGGATAGAAGGTCCTTTGTAAGTTGTTGAATCTGTTGAGAAATTTGTTGTCCAGGGTGAGGAGAGAGTCTGTGAGAGTTGCTGATTGCTGCTTGGTTGTCGGTGAAAACCCAGATGTGCTTGAAGGATAGGCTGGACCTGCTGGCTTCTGTGAGTGCTCTGGCAATACCTACCAATTCCCCATCATACACCTTCATCCCACATCCTAATCCAACTCTCCATCTTCCAACAATCCCACCACTATGCATCATAAGCACTCCTGCTCCTACTTCTCCATTTTGCAGTTCACTTCCATCTGTGTAGAGAACAAGGTTTTCTGAATTATTGAGGGAGTTGAGGAGAGTAATATGACTTTTGGCTGCTGTGTCTTTGTCTTCCTGGCTGATAGTGATGTCAAGTCTGGAGGTGGTGTCAGGTAGGTTGGTATCCCAGGGTGGTTGCAGGTTTGGGTAACACTGTTCAACATCTTGTCCTACAGGCAGGAATGAACTTAGTGTATTTAACACTCTTATTAGTTGGGTGGGGAACTCAGCTTGCTCAGAATCAGTGTTCCTCCAATCAGCCTGCATCTTGCCACATGGCTCATGCTGAGGATTCCACAAGTATGTTCTGTTATGTTGCTTGTAGGTAGAAGTCCAAGATATGTCACTCTCGGAGGAGGAGGAGCATGGTCTGTCTAGTGGAATGGATGAGGAAAGGGTGCTTGGGAATGAGCTGGGTGTTCTCTGCCTGATAGGATGGTCTGAAAGCATCTGTAAAACTCTCTAAGCATATCTCTTACACTGTCTGTCAAGTCTCAATGGAATGGGAAGGGTGGTTGCTTCAATCTCCATTGCAGCAGTTGGTGACGTTCTGAAAGCCCCCAGGATTCTTCTGTTTGCCTCTGCCTGTAACTTCTGTAACTTGTTAGCAAGACCAATTTGACCTTTCCACCAGACCTCTACTCCATAGTCAGCTATTGGAGTAATGCAGGTATAGTATAGTTGCCTCATGGCTGGTGCTGAAAGGCCCCATTCTGAGTTGGATAATCTAGAAATGATGTTAAGTGCCCTAGTTGCTGCAGCTGTCTTCTATTTCACATAGTAGTTAAAAAAAAGCTTCCTGTCAAGCCAAACTCGTAGCCATCTAAGATGCTGAGAAGGGAAGACAACAGTGCCATGAGGAAGAGTGACAGGGGAGTTAGTAGTAAAGTCGCTTGTTTTGTTGTCAAAGTGCATGAGTTCTGTCTTGGGATCATCAAATACTATTACATTGTCAGGGGCCCAATTCCAGGCCCTTCTGGCTACTACCTCCAATGCCTTGGAGTTACCCTGCTCAGCGGGGCATGTACTTGAACACCTGATTCCTTGGGCAGCCGACGGCTGCAGCATCTCATCCTCGGCCGCCTAATCAAACACGACGCTAGCTTTTCAACGCGGTCTCCGACGTCCCCCCAGCGCCAATATTGGTAGACCTACAGCCTGTTATGAGAATGGTCATTACCTTGGCGGATTA